TAAGTGATTTCTGAGGAATGGAATTATCCAAAAAACAATCTTGGAACTGTGCTTCGAGTGGGTCCACCGGACAATATGGGTACATATTTTCGGAACGGGAACGACGCGTAGAGGCTGGGAACAGATTGATTGACGTCATTTTGGAATCCAAGATGGTGACTTTCGGTTTGTGAAAAACTGTCAAATAACCAACAATATGGATATTTTCGAAATTGGACGACGTTTAGAGGCCGGAAATCGATTATTGACGTTATTTTGGAATCCAAGATGACATCCGGTTTATATGGGTATTTTAGAAATGGGGACGTCGTGTAGAGTATGGAAATCGATTATTGACACTATTTTGGAACCTAGACGGCGACTTCCGTTTCGTGAAAACTATCAAATACCTTACAATATAGGTATTTTCTTAACGGGAACGACGTGTAGTGGCCGGAAATCGATGGTTGACACCATTTTGAAATCCAAAATGGTGACTTCTGGTTTGTGATGAAACTTCGAATACCTTTCAATATGGACATTTCCGGAACAGGGATGACGTGTAGAGGTGGGAAATCGATTATTGACTCCATTTTGGAATCCAAGACAGTGACTACCACCGGTTTATGAAAGTGCCAAATATTTTTTTTGCAATTAGTTTTTAAATATCTTTTATTTCCGATAATCTGTAATTAATCTTATTACATTTACAGGAATTGAAAACATTGAATGCTGAACAACATGCGATACCAGCGACTTGGTTGTGGAATGCATGTAGCACTAGAGGTTTTCTAACAAGTGGTAATGGCCTCAACAGTACTGGAACTAAAACTCACCAAACATTTCTGGAACTAGAAAATAACTGAACCAGGTTTACTAGTGAAACAGCGGAATTTAATTTTAAGCTTCGTGTAAAGGGGCTACTTCAGGACATACCATACACTGGTAGTTAAGGTTGAAGAGTTCATAACTTCACGATGTCCAATTGGCTAAAACCGATTTCAGTAACAAGGATTCTTCATTCACCTAGTTTCGTTACCTTTGACTTTTTGGTCAACAACAATTTCAATTCCAGTTCCAATTATTTTAGATACTATTGAGGCCTTTACCACTTGTTAGAAAACCTCTAGTGCTACATTTGGTGTTACTTGGGATCACATGTTGTTAGACATTCAATGTATACAATTTCTGTACAGGGTGATGCAGAATAACTGTCACCGATTTCACAAATATGCAATTCTCTATGGATAAAATGGGTATATGTTCAAGAATTTTTGTTTTAAAATGTGTTCAAATATCAGCTTGTATTTGTAAGATTTGAAATTTCATTCGTTTGCGATTTCAAGCAGGCATGGACGTGAAAATGGAGCATGTTATAAATCTGTATAAAATCGTGTGTTATCTTTTAGGAACTGAAATCTCTTTGAAAGAACGAAACATTTATTTTCCGCATCATTATAGAGGTACTACAAAGGAACCATGTTTGGAAAATCCGTTCAATATCAGAGCTTAGACACATTGCCTGGACCCAGAAAGAGCTGGAACTAAAGCGTGCGTGCCAGTAGTAGTTATTTTTCGTGACAAATTAGGCTGATAATTAAGGTAAAGGGAGATAAATTTGAATTAAAGTATGCTAAGTTAAAGTTTATAGATCTCGATGAACATTAAAAAAGGTCCTATCTGCTTTGATTGATTCTCTTCATCGACAGTCTCTTTTGATAACCACTGCTATGCAAACAGATTTCGCGCTAATTTTACCACATAGTATGATAATGGAGGTTCTTATCTAGCGTTCAAAACGTCAAATACAACAGAAAGATTTTGCAGCTGAGTTATTAATGAAAGAGAAAGTCAATGAAGAGAATCGATCAATGCAGATAGGACCTTTTGAAATGTTTATCTAGATTTTAGTTTCGAATCCGTTGCCCACCCTAGTTTTTTTTTTGCGCAAGCGTTCTCTGATACACAACAATCGTCTATTATCGACGATATGTGCTTGTACCGCAACCACTCAGTATCAGTCGATCTGAACAAACCAGGCTTGATGGAGCCTCGCTCGCGAGTTTGAAATGAGCCAAGGGTAGCATTTTTCTGAGGAGTAGAAATCCTACTGCCAAATCATTCCACTGAGCTTCAGAGCTTGTGAGCAAAGGGGGATAAAATTAAGCTGGGTTTAGACAGGGCAAGTCAATTGATCAAGTCAGTTGAATTCTCGATGAACATTTCAAATGGTCCTATCTGCTTTGATCGATTCTCTTCATCGACTTTCTCTTTTCATAACCACTGATATGCAAACAGATTTCGCGCTAATTCTACCACATAGTTTGATAAAGGAGGTTCTTATCTAGCGTCCAAAACGTCAAATTCAAAACGGAAAGGTTTTGCAGCTGAGTTGTTGACGAAAGAGAAAGTCGACGAAGAGAATCGATCAAAGCAGATAGGACCATTTGAAATGTTCATCGAGAATTCAATTGGCATGAAAAGTTGAGCCTGGTTCAACTTTTTTCAATTCAAGTGAGTTGATCAAGTCAGTTGAATGGTATGGTTTACACGTTCAATTCGCGTTCAAGTCAGTTGAATTCAACTGACTTGATCAATTGACTTGCCCTGTCTAAACCCAGCTTTAGAGTGAGGTTTGCTGCCATCCATGTTCATGTTTTCTATCACACGCTCTTACTCTCACTCTGGGTGAACTCTGAGGTTTTTGCGTCGTACAAAAAAGTCATCCGGAGTCTCGAAAAGCGCACCTCACGTCGAATCATCCCCTCGCTGAAGTTCACTCTTCCTCTCTCTAGAGGAGTTTTTGTTTACTTCATCCATATTCCTGCTGTCACTCACTCGAGGTGAGGGCTGGCTAAACTCGCAGGAAAAGAGTGTTTTAAATCCTCCAGTGAGTTAGAGGAGTTTCAGCAAGCCTGGAACATACACAGCTCATTTTTGTTGTACATGTTACATGCTGAAATATGTCCAGCACAGTATGAATATAACATTTGAGCTGGAGGCCTCAAGTTTGAACATACTGAGAGGTAAGCACATATCATCGGTAAGAGACGTGTGTGTGAGAAAATTTAGTATCAGTAAAACTATGTAACTTAGTGTTCACAGATTTTACGTAAATTGACACAATATTTTATGTAAATTCAAACACAATATCGCATACATCAGCAATATTGTATGCAAGCATGTAAACAATTTCGTAGCTCAACATTAACATTTTACGAGACGATTAGAATTCAGATTTTTTTCTGTGTACCGCTGCGTTGTGAGAAAATTCAGAAATGATCTGAACTAAGCATATAGAAGGTCTTTACTTCCAGAAGCTTTATCACGAACGAAAGTTTTCTATGTGATCAGGGCTTAGAAGTACATACCACCAACCGAAAGTTCTTGACCAACTGAACAAATTTCTATATGGTCAGAATCACGAGATATTCTGGGAAAGAACGGACAGCCCACATGTGTTGTACAAAGTACAACGCGTATGTGCTCGTGTTACAATAGTTGGCGCGAGTACTGAAAGGTTAAAATGGAAATTGATCTACTGTTGGAGAAGATGAAATTTCATTAGCAATAGAACAAAATGTGTTGCAAAAGTGGCAATAGCATGTTTATGAATCATTAATCTGCAATACAATACATCAGAGGTTATCAAACTTTTCGACCCACTTTAAAAGATTTTAGCTTGTGACCTACCAATATGGAAAACCAATCCAAACAAACTGTTAAATGCCCAATATGAAAAAAAAAAATATTTAAAACGCATGACAGTTTGAAAAAAAAAATTCAAATTAGCTAAAAACGACAAAATTGCGTCCCAAATAAAAAGCGGGTTTAAATCTTAGAAAATTATCTGAAAATACTGAACGAGTCATCGACCGTATGAATAGTATTAAACCGAGAAAGTAGTATTTGACCTAAATACAAAAGCTCATCAAAACGTAAAAAACAACTTCGTTTAAATGTTCAACTTACTGGAATGGCTTTTTGAAACATCGTGAAAATAATTTTGACCTTTGAAATGTGAAAACACCAAAAGCGAACTCACAATTGCTTAACTAGCCTTTAATTACCACATAAATATAATATACCAATAAATGGTCTTCAATTCCACAAATCAGCCATACAGCTCTAAAACAAATCTTGGAACGTCGAAATGGTCGAAAGAAAATAATTTGAAACACTGTGATGTAGAGATGGTTAAATTTTCTTAATCGAGTAAATAATTTAAAAAAAAACAAGTTATTATCTTATTTTTTTTATTGTTGCTGTGGTGATGAGGCTAGTCAAAAAACGTATAAAGGCTGCCTATTAGGGTGGTTCAAATTATTGATTTAATTTTCCAATATACCCTAATATTAAATTTAATAATTTAGGGGAATTTCCGGCTTTGGCGAAAACCATTTACCTATTATCGTCAGAAAGATAAACAAAGTCCTAGGGCGCTCAAATTTGACCAATAGATGCTCTGAAATATGTTGCTTCCTCAGGGAGTAAATGAGTGCTCAAGGATTTCATTTCTCCCTATGACGATAATTGGTTAATGTGTTGCTGAGACATCTAGTAAATTTTTGTAATAAATAGCTTCTTCCAAATTCAGAAGTCACTACAAAAATAAGAACCAATTACCACAAATGAGATAAAATTGTAGCAGTGCCCATACCTGGTGCACTTTCCATTGGTGCCTTTGGTCCACGGAATAAATCACGCAAATCTCTCTTGCGGAATTTAATGAAAAGAATTTTAGTTGAGTTAATATAAATTTGAAACTTAATTCCTCCTGAATCAAGCATATAACTCAGTTGAGTGCGGGACAACAGGCTGAATTTGGCCAAGTAAGAAAGGGATCACAAGGAATGGTTTTGCGAACATCGACAACAAAGGCACATCAATTGGCATTTTATATCTAATCCTGTTCATCTTGTTCTCCTTATTTCTAAACAAAGGCTAATTAATGAGTACGAGAGATGTCTAAAACATAGAGATAAATGTAAGAAAGTGTGATGAGTTAAAATTAAACTTACATGATAGTTTTCGGTTTTTACATCATGATACACAAATGAACCTCTTACCGAGTGATAAGGTCCACTATAAACATTTCCACTATATGAACTTTCGCTGTACGTTTGCTTGTTCAGCTGAAATGTTGCATACGGACAAATGTCTTCAATGTATTCTGGAAGTTGTACAGCATGGAAAAGAAAGAAATCTTAACCTCATTTGAATAAACTATTCGATTGATGTTTGTGTTGAAACGATCACTTTATAACGATTGGTCATCTTGAATTGTAGATGGCCGCTTGGTAGTATTGTACATTTTACACCACTTAGACTCCTGTGCAAAAAATAATTGCACAGTAATATTTTCGCACTGGCCAAAAAAATTAAACATTGACTAAGGTGAAAGCAGTTCCATCTTAAGGACATCACTGGCAAGCTACACTAATGAATTCGTGCTCTAGAAAACGTTAAGAAGCTCGATATTTAAATGTTATGACCAGGGCGAAAATATGACTGTGTACTTATTTTTAGCGCAGGGGTCTAATCAGGTGCGAAATCTGCTATATCAAATGCTTACAAATTACCATGCGTTCACCTCCAAGTATCATTCAGCTGGCACGACGCTAAACAGCATAATAAAATTACCATTTCCTTCGGCTTTGAAGCTACCGGAATCCACAGAGTTACTGTTGCGGCTGTTTTGCTGAGCACGCACCGCCAGATACTGCTGGTCTCGGTTTTGCTTATTTTGGATGTTGGCAATCGACGGTGACTCAGACATCGACGTCGACGGGATTCGGTTCTGGTTATTTAGCTCTGGGGACGCATCAGATGCGAATCACAAGTGTCCGAGCGAAGCAGGGATATAAAAAAGGGTAAAAAAGCGAATGTTTTATTCAATAGTGTGTAAAATAAATGAAGAGGACAAATTACTTCTTTTCCGGATGAGTAGAGCGGCTGCTATCAGTGCAAACAGAATCAGAATCGATAGACAAAGAGGCACTAGAACCTTGAAATTTGCATAGAAGGGATTATCTCCCAAGTGAGGCGAAACTGGATTAGTCAAATCGGGATGAACCATCACTAGAGAAAATGAAAACGGGCATCAATTATGAATTCAACATCGAAAAGATAATCCCACAAATAGGTACCTCCAGCAGCGGTAAGTGTAGTGTAATTGTAAACCGCCATTGTTGGACCGGCATTATTGTAGGCTGTTACTCGGAGCTGGTATTTGGTGGCCGGCTGTAAATCCGACACCGTAAAAATTCGTTCCGTTGCTTCAACGTGATTTGAAATCATGTTCCACTGGGATCGACCATATATCCGATTTTCAACGGTGAAATGAGAAATTCCACAACCTCCATCGCCCCAGGAATCCAGCCAACAGGTCACGCTAGTTGAGTTGTTGGTTATCATTTGAGAGTGCTTTGGCTGCACGGGAGATAATCCTTTCGTCTGTGAATGTACAATGTCGCATGGAAGACCAGTTCCGATTTTGTTGTAGGCGGTAATGTACAGCTGGTATTTTGTACCGCACCATAAATTCACCAACAGGTGCGTGTTAGTTTTGGAATCTATTTGTATTTCTTCCCAATCGCCATGTTCCCGTTTGTAATTTATCACGTAACCCAAGATTGGAGAGCCTCCGTTACGATTGTCCAGCCACTCGAGCAGCAAACTATCCGTGTATGTATTGATAACCGATAGGCTTGGTGGATCTGGGGGAACCTTGATTTTAATGTGATACACTATTTCATCTCGGCCCCAGTTGTTTTCCACGTTGCAAGTGTAATTTCCTGCATCTGAATGCTGACAATCTTTGATGTATAGGGTTCCGTTCTTTGCAATCAGTTTTCTCGTTCCCGTTTCCATGGGTTGGTCGTCCTGGCGCCAGATTGTAACCGGCGCAGGAACACCAACCTTCCTACATGGCAAAACTAGTGTTTCCTTCCATGGTGTTACAATTTCCTGGCTAAAGGACACTATCCTGGCAGGAACTTTGTTATTCGGAGGAACTGTGATCACTTCCGATTTTTCCCCTTCGCCTACCTTTGTGGATGCTGTTAGCCAGAATTGATAAGTTGCATGTTCTTGTAACCGAACCGTTTCATGTATCTCTGCGTATGGTACCAGCGATCTTTTGTGAGTTCCTTCGTCTCGACCTCCATCTACCAGGGACATATAGAACGTATAGCCGGTGATGATGCCATTTTTATTCGATGGAGGTAGCCATGAAATTAATATTTTCGTGCTGGATGCTGGAACAGCTTTGATAGCTTTGGGAGCAGTGGGAACTGTAAAGATACAAGATAAACAATATTATGTGTTACACAGGTTTTAAAGTCTTAGCTCATGGTTCACGGAAACATTTCTGCATACTATTTGTTTTATTACTTCTCATTTTCTCGGGCACACACCTGACAATTTACTCAATGTATGGAGCTGAAAATGATGCTTAGTGCTTGCTGCATAGAAGCAAGCATAAATTACATTTTCACATTTTCAGATCTGTACCATTGTATCTGAAAACGTAAAATGGTGAACTGCAAATGAACGATGAAATGGCATATTAGCAATGGTTGGAAAGATACACCATTTATCCAACATGAACATTTGTAATAAATCGGTTACAAAATCATTCTATGAAGTTATGTTTAAGAAATATGCTTTACGATTTTTAGTTAACAATATGTTTCATTGAAAATATGCTTTTGACTTAAAATTGAAAATTATATCGCAATGAAATTTAGACTGATCAGATTTCTCAGAAATATGGGCCAATATTTGCTCATGAGTTTTAGTTTCAGTTGGCGAAGTTTGTTTAAAATTGGTGCAATCGTTCGTGTAAAAATTGGAGGGATCAAAATATATTATTTTTCAAATACTTTTCTAGACAAGCTAAATTGATCTATATCAAACTTTGGAATTGCAAATCTCATTCATTGAGCCTCCCTACGAGAATAAGCTCGCGTGCGAATGCGACAACCAAAATTCACGCTTGAGATTCCAATGCATATTCACGCACTCACACTCACAACGCCGAAAAATCATTCCAGCTTTAAACTCATAAAAACCACTCAAACGTCAATTGATATCATACCTATGCATCTTGTGTTCGATTTCCAACCTCTGATGCACAAACAATAGTAATAACAATAAATAAGGTCAAAATATAAAGCAATGAATTTTTGAAGTTGAAAACTCATCGGTGATTTTTGCGACGTTGAATTTTGCAAGACAAAACTCATACGCGCATAAACTCATGCATGAGATTTGAGTTTTTGAGTTTTTCCGAACACTGGCTGTGAGTTTTGTAAATATTTTAGACGCCAACTTGCGTTGCCAAAGAGTCGATTGACCTTTAGTGGTGGATTCCAATTGTTGAATCACACATTATTGTATTAAGCCATTCCAAGTACTTAACTAATCAAGCTTGGAAACAATCAGAACAGTTATTAGTGCCAGAATCTTGTCTCATTTCTGAAAATTTCTCAGTATCATCCAGATTTATGATATCACCCAATTCAGTCAACCAGGTTTGAACTGTAAATTTTACGATTTGTCCCATCATACAATTATGGCATTTTTCCCATTTTTCATCCACTCAACCCAATCGTCTTGTGTACTTACCGTCTTCGTGAGTTGTACAGAAGAAGGACGTTGTACGCACACCATCACCAACTTTTGTAAATGCCAACACCCAGAAAGTGTAGTTGGTAAACTTTTTCAAATTCTCCAAAGTCATGTACTGGTTGTTGGTTTTCGTGACGTAAGGTTCTTTTTCTGGAATAGGAAATGTATAGGATTGTTAAAATATTCGTTTGTTTTCGAATCAAGTCAAATCAAATCTCACCAAACAGATCCTCGATTTCGATGTACGACACTTTGTAGCCTTTAATTTTACCGTTTTGTCCTTCCGGTGCTGGTGGGGACCATGTGATGTAGATGGAAGTTGAACTCAGCACATCACATTTGGGACTATCAGGAGGAGTCGAAGGCACGTCCTCAAGTGTATTCATCGAAATCTCTTTACTGGGCGGTCCACTGCCTTGGCTTGTATAGGCTTGTACCACGATGTTGTATTGAGTGCACTTGTTCAGGTTAGTGAGTGTGGTTTCCCCACCGAAATGTGTCCTTACTTCAACAGTTTTAAAATTATAGCCTTGTGTTGGTTTGATATCCTTATCGTTAGGCCCTGATGCTTCTTGGTATCCTACGTAGTAACCCAGTAGATTCCCATTCCACTGTTCTCGATCTGGAGCTTCCCACGAGAGAAATATTTCGGTGGAACTTTTCGATTCACCCTTGATGTTCAATGGTGGACCAGAAGGCACTTCTTCTAAGGTTGTCACTTGAATCACTTCCGAGTATTCGGATGCACCAAGTTTGTTCTCGGCCGATATCCGAATATGATATGCTTTCGCTGGTTTAAGGTTTTGCAGGGTGATGACTGTTTGGGTCCCCGCTACAGTTATGTGTTCGACCGATTGCCACAGATCGGTAGTGAGCTTATACTCGACGTTGTATTTTTCGATTGGGCTATTCCCGGCAAATGGTTGGCTCCACGAAAGTTGGAGCGTTCGTGATTGCTGTGAGTTTATCCGAAGATTCTTGGGAGGCTCAGGAACTTCTTGAATCACCAACTGGATCGACATTTCGTCGTGACCAAAAGCATTCGTTGCATGGCAAACATACACTCCCGTGTCCTGGCGGTAAGTGTGGGAGATTCCCAGTTCGGACACCATCCCATCATCCAGGACCTGTTCACGAATGTTGTATCGGTTATCTAATGACTCATCGATGTGTTGTTGCGAGTTTTGCAGTTTCCACTTGATGTCGATGGGATTATCGCCTTGTACATTGCACTGGATATGGATTTGCTTGTTTCGTGGTGATGTAATCTGTTTACTTTTCGTATTGAAATGAGCAGGTACTAGTTTGAGAAAAGATATGGTTCATTTGAAATAGTATTTATAACATACCTACACAAATTCACTTACCATTAACTTTGAGAAAAATTACTTTGCTAACTCCGGTTCCGATTGAATTTTTAGCTTCACATAAAAAATGTCCTTGTGATTCTTTGGTGATCTTTCGAAATTCCAACGTTCCGTTCGAATGCAGCGACACATTTGGTTCGTATAAAAAATCCTTATACTCTCCAGGAGTGTTACCAATCGCTTTCTTCCACGCAATTGTCGGCTTTGGATGACCACCAGCCTGGCAGTGCAAAGCAATATCCTGACCCGCTTGTGCACTTGAATCCTTAGGTTCCAAAATCCATTTTGGCGGTACATTTACAGTCAGTGGGACGGTGAAACTCTCACTTCCAGCAACATTAGTAGCAATGCAAGTATAATTTCCCGAATATTCCGATGTGATATGTTCAATTACTAGACTGGCTGAGTATTCATCTAACCTTCGTATAACTTCGTTACCGGTGCCAAGAATTGGTTTTCCGTTCCGTTCCCAGCGAAAGGTCACGGGAAGATCACCTTCCAGTATTTGGCACGATATGGCAGCCCGCATCCCTTCACGCAGCATGTTGGTCATGGCTTGAATGGGCATGATCTTTGGAGGCACTATAACTTGTATCTCGACATTCCGCCGAGCCGTTTGTTTCTGTTTATTCTGCGCCATACACGTGTACGTTCCGGCGTCTTCCGCCCGTTGTAGTTGTTCGATGATTAGCGTTCCATTGTTGTACGCTCGCTGGCGACGATTTATGGGCAGTGTTTGACCGTCACGTTCCCAGTGTATCTTATCGATAGGATATCCCGCCACTGGACATTTCACCACCAGGTTGCTTCCGGATACGCCGGTAATTTTAGGCATTTCACGTATGTATGGAATACCGTAGACATTCACTTTGGCATTGTGCGATACTCTAAAAAAAAAGAAGGAAAACGGATCGCATATAAGAATCAATGGTCAAAGAGGGCAATTCCAGGTATTTCATTAGAAGGTAGGAAAGGGTGGGAGTTAATAGGTGGAATAAACCAAGGATCAAACACCAGACACGACGTAATATAAAATAATGATAAGTGAATACTTGATGAGAATAAATCGGCAATGCACGTAATCTGGGGGGATGCTTGGCTAATTTTCAAAAGGTGAACGTTGAAATAAGCGCTTCATCAACTGTGGTTGGTAGTGTAAGCTCTAATTTGTTATGGGATGTAAATTGGGCCTAGCGTCTTCGTTCCGGCTATGAAGCAAATGCATTATTTGTCTGCAATAAATCACAACTTCAATGAAACAAAAAGTTCACTGCTCAGTCTACATAACGATTCACAAACAAACCAATAATACATATATGAGACGAAATGAATACATTTCCTACTCTTTGATTTTTTTGTTTATTGAATAGCTGATGCGTAGTTTTTACTCCATATAGTTTTATAGGTGCCGTGTGAATGTTCTCTCGCCCAGTCTTGTAAGCGGTCACCGTAGTCGACGCATTTTCTGTGATAATCGACTGCCTTTGCTTTCGAAACTTGCAAAACAAGCTATCAAATTACAGTACCAAACTAAGGCTCTGTCATACGACACTATCGCCGAAGACCGTCACGAATGTATGTATTTTAGTTTTTCTCATAATAAAAGCCGCTGATGTTGGGCTTGTGTGAATTTTGTAAATAGCATGCAACGATGTCCTAGTAATAGCTTTTTTGATCAGAAATGGTTAAATTTACTCCAAATTGAGGAATTAAAACAAAATCACACATGTCATATGATAGTTGTTTGATAATTTTCTTTTGGCTCGGATGTTGTTCTACCATTTATGTTGTGTGAGAGAGATGACGGAAGAGCATGACTGTATGAAGACAAAAAGACTGTCGCGCACGAAATCGAAGCGAGGGTAGTAGTAAAAAACGTCAACTGTTTCAACCCTTGCTCTCGCCATTCTGCATTTTTTTTTTTAATTTATTTTTTTTTTTATTATAGACACTTTAACGCTCTTGGGTCATTCGTGACTTGTCCGGGGGTGAGATTTGAACTCGTGACTTTGGTGTGAGAGGTATGGATGCTAACCACTACGCCGGGGTAGCCTCCTACCCTCATTCTGCTTTCGCTTGACGATGATTTGTGATTTGGAAAGCAATATCCAGCTAGCTAATATCAAGGAATCCAATAATCGGCCTGAGATGAGACATTGCACAGTGGTCCAGAATGCAGATTTAGGTGGAATGATATGTTTTGAGCCTGAAATTGAAACTTTAGACTAAAAGTCTCTCCTACAAAGTTGTTCCTTATAGTTAGGCCCTCATTTTTATGACAATGAATTCTAGGGTGGTTCCTATTATCATTGAAATAAAATTTTTAACTTTTTTGTTTGAATAAATTAAGGTATACATTTTTCGGCAAAGTTATAGCTGAGCTAATTTCAAGCAACTTTGTTCAAAACTACTTTTTTGTATCTCTTAAATTGGCCAAGATACAGACAACAAATTTTGCTATAAATTTGAAATTTCACATGAAATTCATCTTCTAGAGACTTTTAAACTCTGTAAGACGAATGTTTTATAGCGTAATTTGTTGTCTGCATCTCTTCTTATAAAAAAGATTTACTCAAATATAGTAAAAAATATGAATAAATTCAAATTGATTTTATACGAGTTTAAAAAAGCAAAAAAATCAAATTCGTTTTGCTATCAATGATTATTTTGAATATTATCGATTGCAGAGTCTAAAATCTCGATATTATCATCAATTCTGCAAGAGGTAATAATCTTCCATCGATCTGAGTGAAAAAAGCAACATAACACGTTACATAATGGTATATTTGTGTAAAACGTATATAGTCATTTCGCATTTGAAACTCAAAATCATTCCCATCAAGATGATTATGAATATTGATATGACAACAGAACAGGCGATAATGAATAAGCATCTTTGAATGAACAAAAATAAATGTTGACCTTCAAACTCAGCGGTTGTCTTGATCAAGCATGTTATCATGTCAAAACTCAAATTCATGTAGGTAGTTGGTTTATCTTTCAAGGTTGCCTTCATTCTCAGCTTATTTGAGTGAAGAAAAAATGATTTTTATCAGCACTGGGTAGGGTAGTTGCACATATAGATGACATTACACAAACACTCTTGGAACTGTGATAAAAGATAAAATTTAGGGTCGTGACATACACATGAACCCGGATGGCCATTGGAACGTCCTTCAAAAGATCCGAAACATCTGAAAATTGGTAAATCTGTGAAACTGATCCTAGAGCTCCACTTGGAACTATGATATAAGAAAGAATTGTGCGTCGTGACGTAATAATGGATCCATCCATGGGACCATCCTATGGAAGATCCGGAACAACCTTAAAAGTGGTAAATCCATGAAATTGATCCTAGAGCTCCACAGTTTTTTTTTTTCAAAAATATTAGGAACTGTGATATAAGAATGAAATTGGAGTTATGCTATAAACATGGCCTGGATGGCTATGGGCATCAGCCTATCAACGATCTTGTTTATTTGAAATTCCTCGACATTTTTATAAGCAAAGTGTTCAGCATCAGCTGAGGATTTCAAAATGGCTGAATCTTAGCCAAAAATCTTGAATTGAACCAGCTAAATTTAACTGTGAATGTGTGTCCGTGCACATTTAGCAATTCAGTTGTATTCGTGCAACCTGGAGGTGTGAAGATCTAGCCCTCACATATGTGTTGGTAGAGGGAAAAATGTAAGCATTTCAGAAGACGATTAAAAAGCAGAGATGCAAAATATCATGACACTCACTCGACACTCGTCAACGCATCAACCGACTATCGCTGACAGAATGTTATGTCAAGCAGTGAGAGGTAGAGCCATGGCAAACAACAATCACGAGTAATGATCGCTGCTCTCAGGCAAAATGTAACACTCGCTGCTGATGATGTAAAGCATAACGAAAATAGTGAAGACTTCTGCAGTGCAATCATGAGAAAAAGGGAAACGACAGAAGAAAATGAAAACAATGCCTACGCATTCCAAGTTCGTCTAGGCACGCGTGACTGTGTGAGTTACAAACAAAGCTGGTAAAATTGAACAGAAGCTATTGGGCTCACTCACCAACACACCCATATAAGCAAACAAAGCAGCAACTGCTTCAAAACGAACACAAATGAGTGTCGTGATTGTCGGGAATGACCAGATCGGTGATGGGTCAACACCAGGGGTTGAAACAGTTGACGTTTTTTACTACACTTGCTTCGTTGTCGTGCGCGACAGTCTGTTTGTATTCGTACACTCATGCTCTACCGTCGTCTCTCTCACACAACACTACCGGTAAAATAAAATTCGAGCAAAAAGAAAATTATCAAATAACTATCATATGACATGAGTGATTTCGTTCTAATTCCTTGATTTGGTGTAAATTAAACCATTTCTGATCAGAAATGTTATTCCTAGGGCATCATTGTTTGCTATTTTCAGAATTCACACAAGCACAACATCAGCAGCTCTTATTACGAGAAAAACTGCAATACATACATTCGTGACGTTCTTCGGCGACAGTGTCGTATGACATCACTTGTCGTATGACATTTGAGTTTAGTACTGTACTATGATAGCTTGTTTTGCAAGTGTCAGTTGCTTTTTACTTCTTTCGTCAACTTGATGGATGGTCATGGAGAGTGCTTCGACAAGCACATCGATAAGAATGTACTACCATCAGCTGTTTGACGATCGTGATTGTCGCAACTCTGAGCTCTAGTATCAGTTTCATGGAATTAGCACTCTTATGGATATTTCAGATATCCCGGAAACGTCAAATGGTGACTTTAGGGTGAAACAATCGATAGAACTGTTTCCGCACAGCTGAGGTATATGAGTAAATCAACGATCATCTCTTTTGCCAGTGGTGGCGAGGGGATCTCTTTTCATCATCCCTCATCAACGGATGAATTTGGTAAAGGGTATGATCAACTCGGTGCGTACTTTCCTAAAAAAATGTTATTTGCTCGCTTTCTAATATACATACATCTATATATACAATATATATATACAATTTTCTACACTGCCGTAAGATAACGGAACTATCAACTCTATACTTTCATCTCCTCATCTATCGTATGAAATATCAACTTTAAGTCAAATATTTGACATTAAGCATCTCCAACTATTTGTTTATTTTATATTACTATTTTATTGCATTGTTATAGCTTCAAAATTTAGTTTTCGAAGAAATGCAAAAAATAAAACTTTTATTTTGGGCTCAAGACATTGAATTGGATTTATGAATTTAGTAATCATATGGTTTAAAATTGTTATAGAAAATATTGATATCAACTACATTATATATTATATGCATTAAATAATTAATAATATACATTAAATATTAATCAAAGACTTTTTGTAGGGGGAGCAATAATAACCTTGTAGCCTTATATCAATAAGACGGACGGTCTCGGACTTAACCCCAAATTTTGTTGTTGTGGCTACAGTCGTTTTTTCACATTGACTAATATCAGCAAAATGTAAAGGAATGGGACGAATCGAATACAATGGAGATGATGAAAGAAAATCATACGCCTACGACTATCCACCCAAGAGATCATCCAAACCAATTTGAGACATGGGTACTTCTGCTCCGTACTTACTTTCCTATGCTATTCTGAGCCACACAGGTGTACTCTCCACCATCCTCTTCCTTGACGTTGGAAATATTTACATGGCTGATTACGTCGTCGTGTATTGTTACGTATTGGCCCACAACGAAGCGGGAATTATCCGGAATCTGAGAGAAAAAAATGCAAAAGGGAAATACAAATTGGTATGAACATAAGTAGCTTATCGTTGGTATGGTAACTCTTCGACCTGGGTTAAACTACACTCAAATGAGAAATGTGCCTTTTTGAAACAATTCCATCTATTTGATAGAGAAATCATCTCAAGCCATAGAACTGAATTCTCTTGCTGGATTGATTTTGTCGGCTCATCTGGGTGTATGAATTCACTTTTCTGACATGCAACGGAATATTTTCCCAAAGCAAACAAGGAGAGAGAAATAATAATCAACCGCTACACTACGCCCGACTTACTGAGTTGCTAAATCTACTATACTGTGGTCGAACAGAGGGAAACAGAGATAGATAAGAAAATTATCTTACCGGAAAACCATCCAGCTTCCAGGTGAATTGCGGTGGTGGGTTTCCAGTCCCAACGCACTTTAACGAAACGGTCGGTCCTGGCTGGAGAGTTTGTTCGGAAAACCAATATAGTAGTTCCGGTGTGGCATCTAAAAGATAGAGTGATAACAATGTTGTTAGGTTAGGTAAGATTTGCTCTGGTTGTTCATAATTCAACGCAGTTACGTAAGTGATATGGTATAACTTGAGGGTTATTTGTTCACATTTCAATAACTTTATTAATTTATATAAATATTGCTTCTGCAGCGTTTGAAACGAATGATGAACGACAAGTAAATAAATGATATAGTTCGTACACAGCAAAAAAATAATTTTGATATCACATCAAAGTGGATGCACTACAGTCATGTCGAAAATTTCATGTAATTTTTATGACCACATAAATAAACAAATGCAGTAAAAGCAGCGTAATGTCAGTTCATGCATTGTATTAATGATAATTTTGTCCTTTTTAGCAAGTAATATTACACCATATTTTCGATATCAAAATTATTTTTTTGCTGTGTATGCCTCCGCCATGGCAGGATGGCCAGACAGTCGTTAGTCTTTTATTTCTTTGATTGTAAAATAACAGAACGTAGGAAAAGGTCCTACCCGTGCGCGATCACATGTTTACCACTACACCACCGCTGGCATCAATGGTTGCAAACATTTATTTAAATAAACATACTTTAGCTTTAGAATGTTGCAGTTTTCATTAGTCGTTTTCCGGACATTCCGTTTGTACGTCTGTTTTTCGACCAATATGGTGCTAACGGAGGTGCCGCAGAATATTTAAAAACCACCGTGCAGGCTTCAATAGAACACTCAAAACGGTTATTATTTCTATGCAACCTAATATGTTTAATATAAAAATCTATGTTTTCGATAGTCACATTGCAAAATTTTACACGTTTACAGAATTTTTCATCCGATTTTTATCTCACTTCACATTAACGAATCAATCACGACCGACGACTTTAAAGTTTTCAGTTGCGTTAGGTCAGCGTTCGTTTGTGTAATTTTAAGTCATCCCGCACCGAAATTATTCTCGCATAATGTTGACTACACGCATGTAAAATTAATTGTTAAAAAGTAATATTGTGAGGTTTATGATGGAAAGTTGCAATAATAAGATCGCTTCTTTTGTGTGCGTCTTGTGAAACGTAAAATTGAGGTAAGTTTTTGGTATGTAGAAGCAGAGTCGACATCACCGTCGGTGCTGGTTTTGAATGGTTAAAGCAACAACTCGATCATAAGTGGTGTGGTGCGATATGAGGGGCTCGGTGGCTTTAGAGCGACCGCTTTTGCTTACTATACAAGATTCGTTAGTCGCTCTCTTTCTTAACTTAAATCTATCGCTTCATTTCATCGTGCCGTTTGACCAAACGAACCCGGCTGCAAACCTGAACTTTTGATCAAAATTTCTCGTGAGAGTGCAGAAGATTTCTCGGCTTCGAACAAAGCGAGTATCACGTCTGCACATTCCTATTGATCTGTATTAGGATGCGATCTGCGCTGGTATTGCATATTACAAAGTTTAAGATCACCAGTTTTTACACATTGAAGATGTATGTTAGTTCCAAGCATTGGTTCTGTGTGTAATTACAGCTGATCTGGCAATAATGGAGTAGCAACCGCAGGTGGTCAGTCATGCTCATTGAGGTGCTTCATTTCTGATAGGCCACCCTCCAATTCCATTCATAACCCTAAAATATGAGCCTTTCCAAAATATGATAAAGAATGATGAAGGTTTAGAGGTCACGATCAGTGAGCTTGCAAGAATGAGGTACTACGCGTTCTGATACACACTTGGATTTGTTTGCCGAGATGGACACCACCGAGCAGCTCGGCATTTTATTTTTGTTCTAGGCAAAAGTTGCTTGAGTTATTTCTACAAATGGTCCTAGCAGATCAATAATGTCACATTCTTAGGTTAGTAGTAAATAATCAAATTCGGGAATAATATCCTAATTTATGCAGAGGGTGGTGTCACAAACACGTGATGTTTTAGCACATAAATATATTCAGTACTTTAATTCAAAATTGCCAAATGTGATAACAATTTTCCAACCAAAAATTTAATACCAGTTTGTCGAACAGTGCAATTATTGATCTAGGATCTTGGTATCAGCGTTCTTCCAAAATACTAAACTTATAGCCTTCGTGAGGAAATAAACTACATATTGTACACAAAGTACGTATGATCAACCTAGTTTAGTTCCTAAGATGAGACAAATTTTGTTAAAAAAAAAATCAGAACTTACCTCCTAATTGTAGCTCTGCGGTGGATTGTATCTGCTCCCATTCATTGGACACAAAGCACTGGTACATGCCCTGGTCTTCCTTCTGTACATTTTTGATAACGATTCGGGGTGTGTCGGTGTAGATCTCTATCCGACTATCGCGTACGATTGGCTTCCCGTTGTGCATCCACAGGACTTCGTGGGCAGGAAATCCCGAAATAATACACTGAAACTGAGCATCTTTACTAACATCTACGGTTTGTACTTGTGGCTGCAGGTGTGCTGATAATGGTGCGGTAACGGTCAACGTCACCTGGATTGTCTCTTCGCCGGCCGTGTTGTTCACCCAGCAAAGGTACTTCCCGCTGTCCTCTAGGCGGGATTTGGAAATTTTGAGCAGCCCTGCCGAGACTATGCTGATTCGTTCGTTCAATTGCAGGGGAATGATTTGATCCTTTACCTCCTTGAACCAGCGGTATGTTGGCACTGGATGACCTTGGGCCACACAAGGCAACGTCACATGTGCATTCACAACTACGTGCTTGAGCGAATGTTTTTCTACATTAATTCTAGGTTGTACTAGTCCTTTCGGCTCAGTCACTATCACTCTACCTGGATATGTTGAAATTTGAATTTCCTCTGAGGGTTGGAAAACGAAATAGAGAATAAAAGAAACACCAGTCAGTTTGGAATGCATGACGAAGAAGTATTCAATTGTGCAGTTGTTTAAATATTCATTGGTTTTTCTACTAGTTGATTACACCTCTTTGAATATGAGCGCAGAAGAAGGAAGAAACAACAAGTTCATGCTCGGTTTGCTAACAAACATCCGTAGGTATTCTGTTAGCAGTTTAATTTACTCTTGAAGTTCTACATTTCACTATTCAGCAGATGTTAGTCTGAGCAAGGATACTTGAAGTTAAATTAATGATTTTTGTAACTGGACGTTGAAACGCACGTTTCCATTTCATATGATTACGCCATCGAATAACGATTGGAGTTTCTTTGTTCACCGATGAAAAAAGCTCCATTACGTATCCATTAATTGCATCCACCATTAGAACCAAAATCGAATGAATGGAATATAGAATGTATGTATGCATTATATACAAAAGAGAAGGTAGATCTGGATGAGGGTTCTCTGGTTTTTCTGTACTGCGATGCGAATTGGAGAAATTTTTTCTCGTGCAGTTTGTATTTATTAGACTGATGCAAAATTTTAAATGTTTGCTCCATTTAAGGTTCCAAATCGGCTTCCTAATTAGCTTCTCAAATTTTTAACCTGTTTGGTAAGAAACTGACTGTGCACAAACCATTTGAAGTTTGCATGGGAATTACTATTGGAAATCCAAACTTTTTGCTCATTACCTTTTACCGTTATTCAATATTGCTCCGAGAGAAAGTTCGATAGCTATGCTTATACGAAATTTTCTCAGCTACATCGAATTTTAATCAAACAACAAATGAAATAGTTACTAAATATTTAAGAAACTGGTAATCTTATGGCATGATCAAGCAGTTGCTATGTGGGCAACACTGTATTGTGCAGTGTGACATAGTAGCCACGATTTTTGTGATATATTTCACGCGCCTGAAATACCAATGTTGCCTGCTGAGCCATTTTTCCATTATTTTAAGACATCAGCGTCTTGAACCATTAATAACTTTTGTTCCATTCTTTTAATCTAAAAGTGGTCTTTGGCAAAGTTGTAGCTGAGTTTTTTTTGCATACAAATGAGGAGTAGTGTTAGAAGTATATAGACAAATAATTACTATGGGAAATTCTGATAAACTTCAAATGTTTGATGCACAGTCAGTTTTTATATAAATGAATTGAAATTTAATTAAGGATGATCAGGACCCTATTTGGAACTGCTTGAGCACTGTAGAGCGAAAATTGCAAATTTCACATCAGTCTAATGTATGCAGCCACCAAGCACTTCAAGAGCTGGGAAAAGTGAATTCCTTTTCACCTGGTTCATAAAATATAGTGGCTTATTGCGGTAACTGTGGAACGTTTCCGCAGGCAGAGCTTTTATCGAGAACTTATTAAATTGCAGTTCACAATATTGGTTACAAGTGGAATGCGAGTCATGCAACAACCATCAGCGAACTATTCAGTGCTTCAGTGCTGAGGATTGTCATTGTAATTGACTGCATAATTCTCACATTATTGATTTCCAAACAGTTACGTACGTAGAGTATTATTCACATTGACGGCTTGATGGATTGATTTTGCTTAATTCAGTTAATTGCGTTACAAATTTAGGTAATAGCAAAAACTGCACACGTTTGTCGCTAACGACATATAGAGTGTCCCATAAAGTATAAGCACACATTCAACTACCGCCTTTTCTACCCCGATGAAGTTTATCAGCTGTTCATCGATTTGTGTTTTTGTTTACTCATTTCTCAACAAGTTTGTGTGCGCAAAGTGCATTTTTTTTACAAAATCATCAAAATGCGAAGCATTTTCCCGGAAAAGCGCACACAGATTGTGCACAAATGGTGCACTATTCCCGAAAATGGAAGAAGTAAGTACCGGAGCAGTCCAAACCGCCATCCAAAAGTTCAGAGAAGAAGATACCTTAGATGACATATCTAAATCTGGCCGTAAAACGGGGAAAGGGGGGCCGAAAATGGCACCAGAGCATCGTTAGTAAAAAAAAATACCTCTGTTCGAGATTTGACCAAAACACTGAGAACATCGAAATGTAACGTCCAACGTGCCAAGACAAAAAACGGACTGAAAACGTTCAAGAAGCAGAAGAAGCCGAAACGAAGTCAGAAACAAGCCGCATTGTCATATTATCATGGACGATGAAACATACGTCAAATTTACTACAAGGCGTTTCCGGGAGACCAATACTATACAATCTGTGATGGTCAGGAAGTTGGCGATGCCGATAAGTCAATTTTTACCAAAAAAAAAATTGGTTTGGCAAGCGATATGAAAATGTGGCAAGTTTTCATAGCCATTTGTGACGTAGGGGACAAAAAACACTGAAATTTACGTTCGGGAGTCAACAAGATGGTCCAAAACTATTTTGGTTCGATTTTGTGTCAATGCACCACGGTAGCTTGGTACAAAGCAAACAATGTGCAATACGTTCCAAAACAAATTAATCCTCCAAATTGCCTGGATGCCCGGTCAATCGAAACTTTTTGGGCCCTTTCCAATGGATATCAACGGAAAACTTTAAGCCAGCGAAGTCAATCGAAGAATTTGAAAAAGACTGGACAAAAGTGGCCAACATTAGCGCCAAGAAATCTGTGCTGAAGCTCAAGGACAGCGTCAGATCGAAAATTCGCTCCTTGCAATACGATTAAAGGAACTGCGGATTATGTTCATCGAATTGAAATAGAATACTATAGAGAACATATATGTGAATTACAAATTTCAGTTAATTAACATTCCAATAATAAACTGTGATTATGGGAAACCCTATAAAGGGTGATACGGTCAAAATTTGGTCAATATCAACTTGACGTATTTCTTTCAATTTTGCATTTAAAAAACCTGAACACCCCTCATTTTGAAGGTGTGTGTGTGTAGAATGTTGCTCCTATTTTGATTTTGGAATTCACTCTTCAGTTGTCAAAATGCCGTCCAAGCAAGAAGAGCAGCGTATCAAAATTTTGCTCGCGCATCGCGAAAATCCGAGCTACTCGCACGCAAAGTTGGCAAAATCGCTAAAAGTTGCCAAATCAACCGTTACAAATGTAATTAAAGTGTTTGGGGAACGTTTGTCGACAGCCAGGAAGTCTGGATCGGAGGGAAATCGAAAACCGGAAGCCGCTGAGACGACAAAGAGAGTTGCCGGTAGTTTCAAGCGAAACCCTAACCTCTCTCTCCGAGATGCCGCAAATAAGCTGGGTGTATCGTCTACAACCGTGCATCTAGCCAAAAAACGAGCCGGACTATCGACTTACAAGAAGGTAGTGACTCCAAATCGCGATGATAAACAAAATACGACGGCCAAAGCGCGATCCCGGAGGCTGTACACGACGATGCTGACGAAGTTTGACTGCGTGGTAATGGACGACGAAACCTACGTCAAAGCCGACTACAAGCAGCTTCCGGGACAGGAGTTTTATACGGCAAAAGGAAGGGGAAAGGTAGCAGATGTTTTCAAGCACATGAAACTGTCAAAGTTCGCAAAGAAATATCTGGTTTGGCAAGCCATCTGTACCTGTGGCTTGAAAAGCAGCATTTTCATAGCTTCCGGGACTGTCAACCAAGAAATTTACGTGAAAGAGTGTTTGAATAAACGTCTGCTGCCTTTCCTGAAGAAACACGGTTGTTCCGTACTGTTTTGGCCGGATTTGGCATCTTGCCATTACGGTAAAAAGGCCATGGAGTGGTACGCCGCCAACAACGTGCAGGTGGTTCCCAAGGACAAGAACCCTCCCAACACGCCAGAGCTCCGCCCAATTGAGAAATACTGGGCTATTGTCAAGCGGAACCTAAAGAAGACCAAAAAAACTGCTAAGGGCGAGCAGCAGTTCAAGGCAAACTGGCTTTCTGCGGCGAAGAAGGTGGACAAGGTGGCTGTACAAAATCTGATGGCAGGGGTCAAGCGTAAGGCTCGGCAATTCGGATTTGGAAAAGCGGAAGCCTAACTGAATATTTTTCCTGAATTTTATACTAATTGAACTTGAAAAAGAAATTTAATTTGATTTTTTAAATCAACGATTTCACCGATTTACACGCGTTTTCCCTTGACCAAATTTTGACCGTATCACCCTTTAGCTGCTGAAAATTGACAGGATTTCCTTTGAAGATCATTTTTAGCTTGAGTGAGTGACGAAGGCTGTTTTGTCAATTACGCCGTGTTTAGTCGATATTTTGCAGCACCTTATCCGATGTGCATAAATCTCTGCATAATTGTGTTTTATGGGCAATAATACAAATTTTTACAAAACTTCGGCCATTTTCGATGCTGTATTTTTTTTTTTAATATTGTCTTTGCTATTTTTTTTAAATTTTAGCACAAAAGCATCAATTCTGATCAAAATACCGTCTGAGACAAAGTTGTAGAGAAAAAAAAGTCGTTCTGGGAAAATACGTACGTGGGAAAATACGTGTTTTTTTTTTGAAAATAATTAAAAAAGTTTAGAAAACTCAAACATTTCAAAGTGTTTATCTTTAATTATTTTATTTTTATAAGAGAAAAGCTTATAACAAATGCAAACGTTTGGAATATTTAAAACCATGGATACTTGAAAATTGGCAAAAATCGTTTAACAAGAACTTTTGATAAAATTGATTGATTTTTATAATTTAGCCCAAAAACAATATTTGAGTAAAAAAATAAAAAGGTTATATTCCTTTCAATTCCACTTAAATAATTTTGGTATCCATGACAAAAAAAGTCCACGGTTATTTTATTAATCTACATGTTTTAGGAGAAAAAAATGGAAATTTTCATCGTTAAACTGATTTAATATCCGTGTTTCAACTTACGCCACTGTATGGGGCAAGATGAAACAACACAAATCATATTTCTATCGTAATAAACAAGTACATGTTTTTGCTCTAAACTATAGTTTAATTCTTTTTTACGCGTTAAAGAAACTTTTAGTGCAAAAACATCCGGTTTATGTTACTTTATGATTTTTCCAGAGAACCTTAAAGTTTAACTTTGAAAAAAAAAAAAAACCGTTTCAAATTGCTTCGGTGTACCTTGTACAAAGAAAGCAAAACATTCCTCGCGTTTATATGTAAGAGTGAATTGTTAAATGAAAATGGAACATTTTCATTAAATGTTCTATCACATTCAGTAGGTGAAGCTCCTTATAATTTATCCTACCTGTTAATCTATTTACAGTTCTGCAAGAATACGTTTTGTACGCATCACTTGGTCCAGCGTTGTTGATGTACAGATCGCCGTTCGATAGCACGATATACTTGCCACCGATGTCGGTGTTCGGGTACAGATGCACACCGGTATCTTGTACCCAGGCCGTTACTACTACATAGTCCTGGATATAGCTGGGAACCTGCAATATAAAATAAAAAGATACTTTCTTTTTAATCAAGGTATGTATCGCGAGATGAAATGTGTCGAGATAGGGATGAAAGGAGGAAGCAGCTTTTTTCGGCATCAGCAAAAAATCCTGACTCCCGGGATATTTGCGGAATTCCCGGGATTCCCGAAAAATTGAATATTTATAAACTTGAATGGTGCAAAAACAAAAAGTAGAAGGGTCTGTGCCTAGGGGCACAAACGGAAGCTTGACGTAGGACCGCTAGTGGGCGAAATAAATGTGAAGAGCATTAAGTTCTTGTAATTGATCAAATAATATCTATTATCTCAACTCTTTCCGGTTTTGAATTGTAGGCGATCCAAATTTGTAGTAATCTTTTTCAAAAAGAAAGTTGATTACGAGAATCAATCAGGGTGGCCAGTGAATTTTCATTTTGAAAATCCCGGTTTTTTCCCGGTTTGCCCGGTTCAAATCTTAAAAATTCCCGGTTGTTAATATGCAACAAAAAAAAAAAAACAAAATTTACTGATAGGATAAAAAGAATGTGATGTAAGAAGATTCCCAAGATTCCGGAGCTTTGAAATTTGTGTAGAGTCTGAAACTAGAACTTTTCTTCAAAATTTGTGATTAATAACATGCTTCGTGATGCAAGATTTGGAGAAACAATAATTAAAATGTGACATTTTTAATTTTTTTCAAGATCACAGATTTATAAAAAAAACATCATACTTATGAGTCGTGGAGTCATAATTGTCACACTCTGAGACTTGGAAGCATTTTAAGGGTAGTAACAAATTACATAGCAATCTGTAGAATCTGGCGGACAAACCTTGGAATTTTTAGTAAAATTTAAAAAAAATTAAAAGTGTTGATTAAAAACAAATATTGAGAAGGATTCCCACACAGTTTTCGAAGGACAAGAGCAGATTTCCAGAATTATTCTTACATGAAATCCATAGAAATTGTTAGATGAATTTGGAAGGATTTCTTTGGAGAAGAATGCAAGTTCTAAATTAAACTGTTAGGTAATTTTAGTAGATTAAAAAAGAATTGTGAAAATAAAAATAAAACATTGCAGAAAATTCCTACGTGGCATTGGAGGCGAACCAACCCAAGGCTGAAAGTCTCCCTAATAAAGATAAATAATAATAATAATGATCGGAATTCAACAAGAAACAAAATTCTTAAAATGTTCTTACAATAATTTCAACCCTAGTGCGAATGATTCATCACATAACCCAAACAAAATTGATTCCAAAAAATTTGCTGATAATTAGAAAGAAATTCTTTAAAATACTCCAAGGGGTTTATAAATTAATTTTCGAAACATTTATTTTGTTTTGAATAGAGTTAAAAGAAATATTTGAAAAGATTTTTAAAGGAATCAAAGTCTCCGGATAGGTGGGAACGGGAATTATATGAAGGATTCCAATAAATTCTTAGAAGGGGTTGGAAGAAAATTCCTAAAAGAATTCAACGGTAATTATTACGCGGAGTGTTTTCTGGTTTATTTCAGAACAATTTCAAGATAATTCAGAGCAGAATTCCAAGTTAATTCTGGAATTCATTATGATAATTTTGAACAACGAAAAAGAGACGGAGAAGAATAATTCAGTTTCGGTTTTTACAAATATTTGTTTCCAAACTCCAGCATCTTCAATATTTTTTTCTTTAGAAATCAACATGTTGCACACATTAGAGAAAATTTTGGAACTTGTTGTAAAAGGCCAGCTGTTAGAATATTTAAATAGTAACTGTTTGTTGATACCGGAACAATCGGGATACCGGGAAGGCCATTCTTGTGAAACCGCGTTAAACTTAGTGTTAGCTAAATGGAAAGAAAATTTGGAGCATAAAGATACGATTGTTGCTGTGTTTTTGGATCTAAAACGCGCTTTTGAGACAATTTCTAGGCCCTTATTGTTGAGAACAATCAAGCGCTTTGGAATTTCGGGTTCTGCATACAAATGGTTTGAAAGCTATTTATCTGACAGAACACAAAGGACTGTTTTTAATGATTTTGTATCTTGTCCCGTGGACAATGACCTTGGAGTGCCTCAGGGAAGTGTATTAGGGCCCCTTTTATTTATTATGTATATTAATGACATGCGACGAGTTTTACGGTTTTGTGATATTAATCTTTTTGCTGACGATACTGTGTTATTCATTGCAGCTAAAGATTTAGAAGAAGCCGTTTCACGCTTGAATGAAGATTTGCGTTCTCTAAGTAGATGGTTGAAGTATAAACAATTGAAATTGAATATAAGTAAAACTAAATTCATGGTAATTTCGCGGAATCGTGTAGATGATGATGTCTCTGTTGTTATTGATGATGAGACACTTGATCGCGTTCAGGAAATTAAATATCTTGGCGTGATTATTGATGACAAACTCAAGTTCAATTCTCATATTGACAATGTCATCAAGAAAATTGCCAAGAAGTATGGAATCCTATGTCGCTTGAAAAACGATTTAACTATTGGTAGTAAAATACAGTTATACAAATCAATCATCTCCCCTCATCTAGACTTTTGCCCTTCCATTTTATTTTTGGCCAATGAAACACAAATATCGAGATTACAGCGTTTGCAGAATAAAGTAATGCGTTTGATTTTAAGATGTAATAGATTCACTTCCTCAACTTTTATGCTGGACGCTTTGCAATGGCTGTCAGTGAAGCAAAGAATTGTGTTTTTGACTATGGTGTTCATTTTTAAAGTAGTTAACGGTTTGCTGCCTCGATATTTGTGTGATCGGATTGAAAGAGGAAGTGATTTTCATAGATATAACACTAGAAACGCGGATGAAGTAAGAACACCACATCTTTTGAATAATGCTTCACAAAATTCATTATTTTTCAAAGGTATAAATGTTTTCAATTCGATGCCTAGACACATCAAGCGTGCAACTACACTTACAGAATTCAAGAGACGCTGCATTTCACATGTAAAAGCTGTTTATTGAGCAGTTAAATTTTTATGAATGGATAAATCATGTATCTTGACAAAGTTATCTCTAACGGATTATTTTGTATGGAGACTGTCATATAGACATTTTAGTAATTGGTGTAGCATATACAAAAAACTACATTGTTTGCCTCGATGGTGATGATGGATTTTTAGTTTTTTGATTTTGTAGTAGTAATAGTAAAAATAGCTTTGAGTAGTCTACGATGGTTTGAGCCTCGCGCGCGGAATACAGGTATAAATGACTAATACGTGGAAATTGTGGCAAAAGCCTTGAATTAGTAAAGGGTTGGCTGGAAGTCGTTTCCTTGGATATAGTCCTGGCACTGCGGAAGCTTAAACGTGTAAATCCCAGGTCACGTGTAAATGGAAGTATTGTCGAGGACTATACTTGGACTTTTGATAACTAGTTACACCTTTGAATGTTTTTGGTTGATGCCTATAGCATATTTAACAGGACATTTATATCTGTAATTGTAACCAGCTCGATTTTGTTTGCAAACCTGGTTAAAATGTTTATATTTAATTATCTTAAAGATAACTCGTCCAGCTCAAACCTTTGTAGGGGTAAGAGGTGGGACCATCATCATCATCATCATCATAGAGGACCATGCACTTTACATCTGAAATTGAAACGACAAAAATCAATTTGCAATATTGCTGAGTGATTAAATTCTAAAAACAATAAGACGGTATACTGAAGAAAATTATGCAACAAATAGAGCAAGACATTCATTTGCTAAAGGATCACTCTGTTTTAATGGTTTATTCTGAAATTCTGATGTAAAAATTTGTTCCTATGATATCAGGCATAACATTTGATAACGGCACAAAAGCATTTGTAAACAAACATTCTAAGGCCCTTTACACGCGAACTAAAGCACGCCCACGCAAACCAATACCACTTACGAAAAAGGTGATAGTTGCTCCTATGCGATGATGTTGTTGGTTTGCGTGGGCGTACTTTGGTTCGCTTGTAAAGGGCCTAAGAAGGTTTGTTTACAAATGCTTTTGTGCCGTTATCAAATGTTATGCCTGAATATGGTTAATTTATTTTCCCGGTTCTCTTGCAGAATTCACGGGGTTTTCCCGGTTTTCCCGGTTACTTTCCAAATTCCCGGATATTTCCCGGTATTCCCGGGTTTCCCGGATTGCTGGCCACCCTTGATCAATCAAAATCACTTGCACCCCTGCTTCCAAGTTTGTGTGGTCGTTGGGGGCTTGTGGTTCTGAATATGGACAAACAAGCACAGATAAATTCTATTCCAACTCTTTACTGATGTAAGCTTGATGGCCATATTGAAGAGGACATCCATGGCCACTTACGCTTGGCGTGTTTAGTGTAGGTGACAGCATCACGGACCTCATTTTCCACGAACACCTTCAGCACACCTCGTAGATCAGACCGGAGATACGTCAGACACTGCGACGGCGAGCCAGACGACGGATGGTGGTTATCTCGAAGAATTTGCGATGACGATTGGCACCTCCTTTGCCACGACCTACTGCTACTATTGCTCACCACGCCGTCCGAAGCGAAAATGAGCTGATACCAGTTAGTTTTTAGTTTTTTAGTTTAAATGATCTTTATTTTTAGTTTAACTTGGACGATTACCATATAAATTTTTTTTTTTTTTTTTTTTTACTAAGTGATTTAATTGCTTTCTTCATCTTTAGGTATGGGCAAAATTCAAAATTTGTTTTACAGAATTAGTCCTAGACTTAGTACACGGTCGACCACCTTGGTGGGATTGGTTTGTTTTGTTTTTAGAATTTGAAGAGAAACTACTTAATACTACTATTTACAGCTTAAAACCTACTCTACTATATACACTTAACCTACTATGTACAAATTGCTTATTAAAGCATGTTCAGAAAGATTGCATTTTTGAATAAATTTAGTTGTCATATCATCAATTTTGGAATCTACTTTGGGAATTTCTGCCTCTTGATGGAGGTCTGCTATTCTTGTGTCGAATGGACGATCTAGGATCATCCTCAACACTCTATTCTGTGCAACCTGGATTTTGTTCCTGTGGGTCTGAG